AAAGCAGATGGAGATGCTGCTGTCTCTGTGGATTCAGATTGCCATTGTGGACTCTCCACTGATGATTTCAATCGTTCCCTTGGGGCCTCTTTCTTTGGCTTGATCAGTTTGACTAAGGCTCTGGCTCCAATCCAGTGGTTTTTCCTGTTAGAGTAACATTTTGATAAGGGAAGATAATAAAATACTTGAAAACATTTTCCTTGAAATCTGGAGCTGACACAGCTTCCCCTCTCTCCCAATATTAGATTATGCTGAGAACTAAGGCATGGTACAGTGTCCCTGGAGCAGAGATGTTTTCATCAAACACATGGTCAGGGAATGGTTTCACAAAAGGAAAGTGACCGGTTCTCCTTCAATGTCAGCATCATTCTAGGGAAATATTTCTCCAGAGCTAGTGATCTGAATAAAACGACTGTGCCATAGTTAAAAGCAAAATCATAAGCATAGATCCAAATAAAATATTTTAATACGATGGGAGGTCTGGTTACATAAACATGATGAAAAGTTGCAAAAATGCTTCTAACAATTAGTATGGATTCTCCTGTGTACTGGAGGGGTCAGATAGTTATGTTTGGGTTCACACAGCTTTTTTATTTGATTTTTTTGAAGGCCAATTCCCCTTGTTGGGGTGCTTAGCCCACACTGAAAGAGCAACTCTGGAAGCAGTGGTGCTGCTTAATCATTGTGTAGGGTCTCATTACTATGATGCCAATTCAGAGTCAACGGGCTGGGTGGCTTGGTTGGGTAAAGCATGCCACTGCTTTAACAAGCCAGATTAGTGGCCTGTTAAAGAAGTGGCCATTCATTGCTTAGCAGATCTGACACTCCCCACTTGATTTTGAGCACAGGTTTTGAAGCAAACTGAAAGGTTATATTGTGAGGCTTTCACACAGACAAGTTAAATGACCCCAAACTGATCAGCAATTCAGCATCCTTTGGATACCAGGATCTTATATGGTCCTTAGCACTTGAATACCTCAGCATCTCCCATTACTAAAAGATGGGAATTTCATTCTGCTTCCAGGTAGCAAAGGAGAGCTTTAGGGATTTAAACAGATGAATCTGAGATTTTGTTTAATAAAAACAGTCACTCAGGCCTCAATTCAGGAATGCACTAAAGCACCAATGGAGACACTGTGTTGTTCCTGTTCCTTGGCTCCCTCACATAGTGATGGGTTCTGCTGCTTGAAGCCCAGTCCTGCGATGGAGAAGAAGGTGTTCCTCAGGTAAAGATGGCTCTCTAAGAGCTTATATTGATTCAGATCCAAATATGAAGTTACTGGGACTCCGCATTTGCACAGGGGTCTATGTTAGCCCATCCTAAAGCAGGACTGCAGCATGAGTCAGTTAACTTGTGTGCCGATGTCGTATGGAGTATGTGAGGTTGAACACAGAGGCTCCCATCGAGAAGAATCCCAATTAAAGCTAGAGGCTTCTCTGGTGGGAGGCCGAGTGTGCAGTAATGACCAGAGGCACCAGCTGCCCTCTTCTTACATCTCCTGGCAGGGAGTCACAAAATTTCAGTCCTCTAAAGAGCCTTTGTTTTCCCCAGTTCTCTCCACAGAAGTTTATACCATTGCAATAACGGCACTGAAATGGAAAGGTACTTACTTTTTTGGAGCAGGATCATAAAACTTGTACTGGTCCATTATCTTTTCTTCCAGTTTTTCTTTGTGTCTCCTTAATGTATTTAATTTATCACTGTGAAAAAAAAAAGTACAATTTGAAAGATTTGCTTCAATTTCACCAGGGTTACAAAATGGAAGGACAAGGCCATTGGTCACCAGGAAAAGAAAGAGGCCATAATATAGGTTCCATGTTTGCAAATGAAGACTTCTTATCCAGAGCTTTCAAATAGTAGATGGAATTTAACTCTTAGGGCATGTCTATACTAGGAAATTATTTCAAAATATCTAAATTCAAAATAATAACTCCCGAAATAATTATTTCAAAATAAGAGTTATCCCCGAAGGAGAGCAGGAGTATAGATTTAGAAATAACTATCCTGTTATTTCGAAATAATGAACGTGGTAGTGTAGTTTCAAAATAAGGGGGAAGCAGGAGTATAGATTTAGAAATAACGAACGTGGTAGTGTAGTTTCAAAATAAGGGGGGTTATTATAGTGTAGACCAGAGCATAGTGATCTTATTCACTGGAAATAACCTTGGGGAAAAAAACTGCAAACATATCTTAACCTCATAAACAGAGCTCTGCAAATATCTCAGCACCTCATTTTTGTGGATTTGGATACAGATGTGGATACAAATTTTGTACCTAGAACCCACCAAATTTGCCGATATCCACTTTATATCTGTGAATATCTGGATCAATGGATGTCGATGCAAATATCTGTGGCTCGTTTTTGTGGATACAAATTTTATACCCACTCAGGGCTCTACTCACGGACACATCAGTTTGATACATTTGCCAGAGAGGGAAGGTTCACCAATTAAGAGAGACAGGTAGTAGGAAATCAGCATGCCTTGTATTTTGAACAAGGCTGATGTTTTCAGAGAAGTATGCTACAATGCTAAATTATTTCTCCCTGTTCTTTTAGCTAACATTTCATCAACATTCTTTCAAATCTACAGCCACAATTTTTTTTTCAGAAGCTGGGCTGCTTTGTCTCTGTCAAATGTTCATTTAGATGTTTTATTTATAAACATTGTTTTAATTTTTTTTCCTGCTACTGATACAGAACTCAACATTTCCCAAGATTACCCTAGCTTCTGGGTCTGCAAATCCAAGGATCTACTCTTGATAGGAACAAGAATATATTTTGTTTCCCAATGTAGTACAAGGAAAGCCCATATGTCTCCATGAATATTAGATAGTTCTGATATGTAAAAAGAGAAAGAAGCACTACTGTACATCAGTGAATCAGCCTATTAAAAAAGGAGATTATGAAAGTGGATGAAACACTTGGATTCCTTAGAGATTATGTCCTTTAAAAGACTATTGTGTTAAATATTCATGGTAACACAAATCACTAAAATGAGCTGTTGTGTCTTAAATATTGCTTAGTTGGCAGCATCCTGTGTCTACTGCTTGGGACAGATGTCATCTTTCAGTCTTCCAGTATATTTTAGTGGGAGGGTACAGATTTTTGTTAATAGGTCAACCACTTCTTTCTTAAGTGTCTTCAGAGTTCTTGGATACTGATCTTTTATCTTCTGGTTTCAGCATCTCCTGTTCACACACTTCAACATCTCACCATGAGTCATCTTCATTACTGGAAGAGAGTTGGTTTAGGCGAGGACAGGTATCACCTCAACATCCTTTGTGGTAGAGCCATGAAAAGATAAAGCTTCTCCACGTATCTTTATTCTCCTTAAATGGTCTTTTACCTATTTGGGGAAATTTAATGGGCCCAACAGTTCCCTTGCAGCCTTTCTGCTTCTGATATATAACATTTTCCACTCTCACCATTTCTTTCCTTGCCTATCATATTACTTTTAGTTGTCACTAATCAATACTTCTGGTCACTTACATGTATTGCTTCTGCTCTTCATGATACTGTTCCTTGTTCTCCATGTTTTGTTCCAGTAGCATTTGGTTCTGCTGACTGAGCATCTGGATCTGACTCAGGAGATGATGGTTCTCTTCTTCCAGATTTCCTTTCAGACGGGTAAGCAGCTAGTCAAAAGAATGAAAGGTGAATTTTTCTTTTGCACTTGACTACACTCTGAAGTCAACATCATAAACTAGCACAAGTACAGAATTACCTGGGTACAGAGTCATAGATTTTTAAAGCCCAACAGGATCCATTCTAATCACGTAGGGTATGTCTACACAACAGGGCTAAAGCAGAATTAAGCTATGCATCCTCAGCTATGTCAACTGCGTAGCTTAAGTCAAAATAGCTTAATTTGGCTTTTGGTGCTGTCTACACAACAGGAAGTTGAAGGAAGAAAACCCTTCTTTCGACTTCCCTTACTTCTTGTGAAATGAGGGTTACCATGAGTTGGAGTAAGAAGTCCTCCAGCTTGATATTATTTCAGAATAAAAGTTTGTAGCGTAGACATGCATTTTGTTATTTTGGAATAATGTCAGTTATTCTGAAATAATGCTGCTGTGTAGACATACCCATAATTTGATCTCCTGCATATCACAGGCCAAAGAATTTCCTCCGGTGATTCCTGAACCGAGCCTATATCTTGTGGTAATTTGTCCTCAAAGTAGTGTAATAGATGTAATAGTGTATTTGATTTACCAATTAGCAAAAGCTTATAGGTTAATGCTATAGACTACACTCATTTCCTTCCCCGCTCCCTTTGCCAGTAATTTTTTAGTAGGCTGGCCAACAGCCCCACTCAGTCCTGGTTTGTGCCAGGTCAAGGACCTATCCTTGCTGCAGCTCTGCATGCCATGCTGCTGCCTCAGATAGAGAGGCAGCAGTGCAGAGTGGCATGGGTCTCCTTGGGAGTGGGGATGTAGCACATTGGCTGCCGGCCTCGTCCCTGGGGACCACAGAACAGTTGACCAACTGATAAAAATTCATGAGGTTAATTGACTATTCAGTTAACCAATATTTAACATTCCTACTTTGAAATGTGGAAGAGCCGAGTGGCACATCTGCTTTTGAAATGTAGCAACAGCTGAGTGGGCTCTTGCTGTTTCAAAGTGGAAATGCCCTTATCAACTAATCGAATAAATGATGGAAATTCCATCGACTATTCGATTAGTTGATAAATCTAATTTTAACATCCCTACTACAGTCAGTGCATCAATTCTGTGATTGTGCCTGCCTCAGAAGTAATAACACAAATGCACTGCATAAGAGGCAGTTGTGAGAATGAAATCCAGCTTCCATTTCAACTGAAAATTTAACCAACGGTGATTTTCATCTGGGGTGCGTCTAGACTACATGGCTCTGTCGACAGAGCCATGTAAAGTAATTTACTCGACTAGTCAATGATGCGGTGATTTAAATAAAAATAAAAATGGCTGCCATGCTGTGCCGACAATCAGCTGATCTGGCATAGCACGGCAGGCTCGACCGCTCCTGTAAACTCGTTTCACGAGGCATACCGGAGCGGTCGACAAAGGCTTCCCTTGTCGACCATGCCGCATTTAGACTGCCGTGCTGTACCGGATCAGCTGATTGTTGGCACAGTGCGGCGGCCATTTTTATTTTAATGAAGTGGGGATTATTTAAATCCCCGCTTCATTGACTATGTCCAGTAAACTACTTTACATGGCTCCGTCAACAGAGCCATGTAGTCTAGACGTACCCCTGTTGTTTAGAGCTCAAAGTCAACAATTTCAAAAGGACTGGGGCACAGCTGCCCTTTTAACACAGAGGAAAAGGACCTCTTTGAAAAGGTGGCCCTATGTCCTGTGGGAAAATGTGCTGCTTCTAGATTCTGACCTCACAGTGGTTATCAAGCTTGGTCAGGGAGATATCCATGGACTGGTGCTGCTCCTTCAGCTCATCATAGCGAGCCTGCCAGCGATTCAGCTCCAGCTGAGAATTATTCAGTGAGGTTTTCAACTCCTTAGTGTGTGCATGCAGTCCCTCGTATTCTGTCTTTAGTTGGCTGTGCAAGAAATTTATCCTGAAAGCGAAGAAACCAGAAATCTTATAAATAATACCCAACAACTGAAAAGCCACAATACAGTACACTGAGCAATGGTTGTTACATCTAAACTGAATGAGTCAAGGCCAATTTTTAAATATATCTTTATTTGATTGTATCTTACATGTTTACTACGGCACTGACAGTGTTACAAAAAGCTCCAGTTCTATAAACAGTTGAAAGGAAAAGAAAGAGCATAACACTTACTACCCATCTTTGGTACTAAGGTATTTGGGATGGGGGACTAGTTTCCATGATAAAAATACACAGTAAAGCATTCTGAGGTAAGACCTACTGGTTGCAGGTAAAGACTATCCACTGGAATGTATTTCTTGATGCATGAAATGTACTAAGCACTGTATGTCAGACATTGCAATACTTCTGTGAATGAGACAATTTCTGCTTTTGTAAGTCAGTAGTAATGCTAAAATATCTACTATTCCTGGATGCCTTTAAATTAAAAAATGACAATACCACCACTAACAACAACAAATTCTGACTCAGTTGACAAATAAAGCAAATAAATTTCTTCTCCTCTTCCTTCCTCCAAAGCATTTTGGGACACATCCAAAGCCCTGTCCACATTAGGGAAACGAACCATGGTTAAACAGAGCAAGTTGAAAGAACCTTGATTTGCAGAGCAGTAATGCAATATCCTGTGTTACGTGAGAATGGCATAAGGGTGTAACTTCAACAAACGCAAAGACTGTTTGGTGTGAGCAAGACCTGAGCATCTTAGTTTGAACCACATTTAAAAATCAATTTTCTTCTTAAAATTTCCCCATGGACCTGCCTGAATGATGCAGGTTCACTGGCTGTAACAATGACTGGAGTACTACTGTACACTAGCCTGAAACATTTTTACCACCCTCTTGTCTAAGGCTGCTCAGAGGCTAGCCTCCTAGTGGGTTTTAGCATGGTTTGAAATGTGCTCAGTGAGTTCAGCAACCTCCGAACCCATCTTTAAACCATGATTCGTTCTTATACTTAACCCTTAACAGTGTTGCATATCTGGACAAGCCATTGCAACTTAAGGAAAATAAGGAACATCAGATCATTAACTCCTGGCACCAGAGCAGTGTTTCTCTCATGAAGAAACCACATGAAGCCACCAGGTGATTTTCCTGTAGTCATGGAAGTCTCCTGAGTGGTGATGAGGGTGGGGAGAGGCAAAGCACTGGCCGCTCCCTCTCCCTCCTGGATGCACAGCCTGGCACATCCCTCAAGACAGGTGGAGCACGATGCTGCAGGAGCATGAGGAGTTCTCTACCTGGGGATGGGAGGCAGTCAGCCCTAGTATGGTTGGGAGGTGGGCTCCAGCAGTGAGACGTAGTGAGCCTAGCTGCAAAGCTCTAGCTATGGGGCTTCCAATGCCAGTACCCAGCTCTGGCTCCAGAGTTTTGGGTGCTGACCCCGAGCTCTGACCACATGGCCCTAGCCTTCAGCCCTGAGGCTTCAGCTCAGACTCCAACCTCAGGCCACATGCCGTCAAGCTCCAGTTCCTATCTCTAGCCGCATAGCACCAAACCTGGGAGCCAATCCCAGCAGCAGCTGCTAGCCTTGGGCACCAACTCCCAATCCTGGCGGCAGCTACAGGCCCCAGCCACCAACCCATTGCCCAGTGTTCTCCAACCCCAGTCCTGGCTACTGACTCCAGGTGCCAGCCTATAGTTTCAGCCACCCAGCAGTGGGCACCAGCTCCAGGCACCAATCCCCGGCCCAGGGTGTGCGGCAGCAGTACTGGCCATAAGTGCTGATCCCAGCCCCATAGCACATGCACCATGTCTTGCTCTGGGAGCGTGGGAGCAGGCACTGACCCCCTAGACCAGACCATGCAGCCCCAGGTCCCAGCATCCAGTTTGAGGCTCTGGCCATGTAGCAGTGGGCGCTAGGCTTGGGCTCCAACTCTCCTCCCTGGCCATACAGCTCCTGCCCCCACCTCCAGGTTCTGGTTGCACAAACTGACCACCAGCTGCACAGCCCAGGTACCAATCCCCTAGCTCCAGCTGCACAGCTACAGGGCTCACCACCTACTCTACTCTTTCTTGGCCCCAGATCTGTGCCTCCTCTCCCCATCGCCCTGGACCCCACTGCCTTCCTGGTCCTGCATCCACCCGTCCATGACCCTAGGCCCCTGCTGCCTTCCCCAACCAACATCCATCTCACCAAGTCTCCCACTGCCTCTGCCTCCATCCAGGGCTTACATTGTCCTGGGACTTGCTGAGAAAAGTGATATTGACAAACATACATAGATCACTCTTCACAGCAATATTTTTATATTTGAGTGTACAAAAAACACCTGCATATATTACAATGACATGGATATAGATGTGTGCTATGTATTTTTCCTAAAGTTGATTCAGTGTTTTAAGGAAAAAAGTGTCAGCGTGGCCACGAGCACACTGTGGCCTCACTCCAAGACCATCCAAAAATTTATTGCGAGTACCCCTGTACTTGAACAAATCAAAGATTGTATAGTTACAAATGTAAGGGAAACAATAGGGCGTATTTGGGGAGTGATAATTTCCAGCTTGCATAACTTTAGTGAATGGCTTGTGATATTTGGTGTTTTATATAAAGCCCTCCTTCCTTGCAACATGAGATTATATGAGAATCTCAGCTTTTTATTTTACAAAAAAAAAATAAAAAAAAATAAAATAAAACAATTGTCTAGACCTTATGGTTGGTCAGAAAAGCTTAAAAATTTGACCTGAGCATGTCATAATGGTTTGGAAATCAGAAAGCAAATAAAGAGCACCAAACATTTCTTATTATTTTAAAATCTGTTGTATTTTAAGCTATTATCATGATTTTTGAATACCGTATATACTCGAGTATAAGCCGAGTTTTTCAGCACATTTTTTGTGCTGAAAAATGCCCCCCTCGGCTTATACTCGAGTCAGCGTCTCGAGAACTGAGGCGGGCGGGCTCAGCGCGTCTCTGCCGCCGGCCGGGTCTAGCCGCGTGAGCCCGGAGCTCCGGCCCCGGTAACCGAGGTGCTCGGGGCGGGGGGTGCTGCCGGGAGCGGGCTGGGCTCCGTGTGTCGGGGGCCGTCGCTGCGCGGGGCGCTCGGAGCCTCTGCCGGCCGCTTGGGTTGCAGCTGCTCGGGGGTTCCTAGTTAAGAACACAGAGGCAGACCCGGTGAGTGTCTCAAGTCTTCTCCTCTGGCTCATCATGAGATGTCATGGCAGAGCTGATTCAGAGCCTGCAGATGATAAAGACTGTAGCTGCTTGCCTTCTCCGTGCTGGAGACCCTGGCTGTATGTCAGCTACCAATGCCAGTTTAAGGCTTTGATCCTACTCGTCAATGCCATGGATGGATCAAGCCCCAGCTACTTCAAAGACCAAACGGTGGCATATAAAGCCCCACAAGGGCTGTGCTGTTCTGGGAAAATGCACATCATAAGACCAGGATGGAAGCTGGGGACAAAGCATTCTCAGTGGGAGTTAACACCTCCCCTGCTTAGTGAAAATCCCACTAGATGCCTATTTGCAACTTTTACATGCCTAAAATACCTTTGAAAATCTTCATGTAATTTTATTGGTATCTATCTTCATTTTTTACATTTACCAGTAGCTGCCTCATTTCCTACCCTAGGCTTATACTCGAGTCAATACTTTTTCCCAGTTTTTTGTGGTAAAATTAGGTGCCTCGGCTTATATTCGCACCAAACATTTATTATTATTTTAAAATCTTGTATTTTAAGCTATCATCATGATTTTTGAATAGTTGGAACCGCCAGTACTGAATTTCATTGTCAGCATCTCTGGTGGTTAAAGAATACAAAAACCGCCAGTACTGAATTTCATTGACAGCATCTCTGGTGGTTAAAGAATACAATATTTCCTCTACGTTTTGTAGCAGAACACCCTCCAGTTATTCCTCAACTACTGGAAGCTATGTTCCTTCTGTTCCCCCACAAAGGCAAATTCCACACTGATTTATGCCCCAGGCAATTCCATGCATTTTCATGCGATTGCAACAGCTAGAAATCAGCACAGAATTTAGTCAGTAGACCTTTTATAAAACAGATACACATCAAACAGAAACCACAGCCCAGCCTATCTAGAATGAGTACAAGTCACAGTAGCAGACCACATCTAAATCACTGACTAACAGTACCCATTTACAAGGATTAGAAAGCTGATTATCTACCAGCGATTAAGCAAACATGATCAGATTAATAAAACAAAGCTATTAGGGAACAGAAATTCTATTATGACAAGACACACCAATGAAGGCTTATGTTAACTCAGCAGTGGACTAGAGCAAATCTATATTGCATATGATATAATTTTTACTAATATACACAATGCACTTTTCCAAGCAGTGTTACCTGTCCAGCTCTTCTCTCAGCTTTTGATTTTCTCCAGTGGCGATTGCATTTGTTCTCCTTTCTTGTTGCAGAACCTCTCTCTCAGTTCTTAGAACATTTTCCAACTCTTCCAATTCTGCCTTGTGTTTTTCTAAACTGTTGTACCTACAAGAGATAAATAAGCACTTTCTGGGCTTTGGCTACATAGTTTTCTCAGTAGATAAAAATGCATCCATCAGAAAATGAGACTTCTTCAATATACTGTATACATTTTTAGTTGAGTTCAAAAGAAATCTATCATAAGTGAGTGAATTCAGGCTAGTTAATACCTGACAGGGAGGCTGCATCATTGTATTTTTGTCTGAATTAAAATGCTAATTATAAGAACTGTGATCACTCTGTATATCCTGATCAACCGGTATAAAAAGTAAGGATTTCTCCAGGGTGAAGGGAACCTAAAGGGAGCTTCCCAAACAGTGCTGCACCTTTTAAACCAACATACCATTTAGAATCAGTTACTAGAGACAAGTCTCAAACCCCCGTTCAGAGCATAGAGAGGTAGCCAAAAAACAAGAAAAGAGTGAAATCAGCTACATATCTCAACCCTCAAATATTACATGTAGAGGTCAGACAGTGTGATCATGGCATTTCAGTGCCAATGGAGTGTTGCTGACATGCTGTAACTTTTTGTAGTGGTTGACTGTGGCGCTGAAATGGTTCTGCTCCTTTGCTAATGAGAAATCCCAGAAGACAGTACAGGGGTCTATTTGCCCTGAGGACACCACTCTGCAGTGTTCTATTTCACTCTTCCATGTCCTGATTTGTTCACTTTGCCAATGGGCCATCAAGGGCAGTAAAAAAGGGCAGTGCTGTCTTCTCTTTGCTGAGGATACCCAGCTTTATAACAACATCTCTCCTGACCCTACTGGCACAGTGGATCAATTTCCCTACTGTGTAAAAATAAGGATACCCAGCTTTATAACATCTCTCCTGACCCTACTGGCACGTTGGATCAATTTCCCTACTGTGTAAAAATGACAAGCATGACTGAGGGGGTTGAGCACCCCTTACAAGCCATGGCTGCCCACTTTTCAGATAACACTGGTCCCATACTGCCATCCTGAACGGTTATGGCCACTTTGCACCATAGCAAAGCGTTCTCAGGTGGATTTTCTGCAACTGGGGTCCTCTGCCAAGGTTTTTGCTTCAATATCCTGTGGAATGACCAGTGTCTTGACTTAGTGCAATTTTCTGGGACAGTGGTGTGCACCCTTTGCTGGAGGTGGGACAGCAGGCTTTCACCCTCATAGTGAACTCTTGCTGGGGCAGGTATAAGTGTTGTGATGCACAGAAAAACCTTGTTATAAGAAGTTTCAAAATAGCAGCCAAGCAGAGGATAGAGAAGTACGGTATATTACAAAGCTACAATGATCAGGCAAACTTCCACTGCATTCATCCAACCAGGCACTGGCAAGTCTCATTTCAAGGGAGATGAAAGCAGACCAAAAACAGCTACTTTGCAGCCACAGTAAATAGTAAAAAGGAAACAACAGAAAGAGAGCAGCACCAAATATACTGACACTTACCAACTAATTTCTCTTTCAGGCTACCATCCTACTCTCCCAGGGGTCACATTACAGCTCCTTCTAAATTCCAGCCAGTGAGCTGCCACACAGAGAAGTACCTGTCTGCCACACAAAAAGCTCTTCCTTACTATTCAGCACCAGGGGCAGTAATGGAGATGAATTAACCAAGTTTATTTCTCTCTCTCAGCTGCAGGGCATTTTAAATAAGGAGCATTCAGAGTCCACCTGAAGAACAGAAGATCCTGAACTTGGGGGATAGTTTCTCATGTAAACCAGAGGGTTAGATTAGATGACCCTTGCGATTCCTCTAAAACCTACAATTCTATAATTACTTTACCTTTTGAGAAAACATGCACAAATTTGTTTTACAAACCTGTTTCTTTAATCTCATCCTTTGCCCTTGAGTCTTGGCTTTCCTTTAGACTTCTATGTCCAGCTTCAAGAATAACTTTCAATAGATCGCCCATGTCAATCAGAAATGTGTGCCAAATATGTCACCACCCTGACAAAGGTCATCAAGGCCTTGTCTGCATGGAGTAGGGATGGAAAATCCTGTTTAAGTGTGACATTTAACTGATTAAAGGGGAGATGGACTGGAGCAGTCCCCCATGCCCATCATGGCCAGGATGGGGCTCCTCCCTGCCACAAGCACAGGAGGGTCCAGCCCAGGGCCCACCACGGACAGGGGCTGCTTCCGGGCAGCTCCTCTGTCGGTGGGGGCGGCCCCCTTTTCAGGGCGGGGGGGGAGTGGCGCCAGCCCCTACTGATTAACCAGAGCCAGTAAGTATCACCTGTTAACCAAATAACCTTTCATAGCCCTATTATGGAGCCTTTCAGAAACTCTCCTCTCTCTGTCCTAGGGTTTCTGCAGCTTGGCTGGCACTAGTTTAGATCTGCTACTAGCAGCCTCACACCAGGGCCTACCTCTGAGCAGGTTAGACTACTTAGAGGTAAATCAGTCAATGGCCAATCTTCACTAATATCCCCACCATTGGTGTAGCACTGGTGACAGTACAGTGAGGGGAAGATTTCTCTCTACACAGACCAAGTGCATCCCAGCACTGAATCAGCCTACACTGATCAAGGACTTGAATGGACATATTCCTATACTGACAGTATTACTTGGCCTCTTCTTGCTGCTGCTCTGTTTGTACTGAAACCATGGATGGATACTTGTGACAGAGAACATTTTAAAATACACAGCCATCATTAGAAATATATGCATAAGTAGCTCAAAATGCATGATTACTAAGCAACCTATGTAAGTTAATAATGTAAATCCCCGAAACATGTAACTTGTTTAACTCCAGAGGGAAGAGTTATTTCAATATCTGTGATGGATTACACATTTGCACAACAAGCTATGCAGAACTGTGTAATATCTGCCCTAGCATTGGTAGCTAGCTAGTTATCCTTATTAATAAGCAGAATCCAAAATACTCAAAAAAGGCACAAGGTGGATGGAGTTCCTCTCAGCACAAGCCAGCCAGCATATTACAGCATAAAGAAAATGTTGTTTTTAATAAATGCCTGCTAACATGTCAAGTCAACTATACCTTTTCTAGCCAAATCAAACCCACATCTTCTGTGTATTGCTAGGTCATTTCACTGTACTTTGAGATACACTCCTGTGGTGGGACTACGGTCTATATTCATGATTATCCAAGAGAAAAACTACTACCGGATTGCCTGGAACAAAACCCCCTGTTTGGAGAGGTTACAGACCAGACATGGCCACAGTGCAGCTCGTGAGCTGATTGCAGCTCTTTCACATGTTGACATGCAGCTCACAGAGTCCCCTGCATCCCACCATTCTCTGCCTACCAAACTGCAGTGAAGCCCAAGACCTCTGCCTTGTAGCAGGACATCAGCAGGAGTGGGACAAAGCCCTGAGTCCCATCTATTGAGCTTCTGAAGACTGTCGAATATGGCTTGGAGGGTCATCCCTGTTATGGACAACTCATGCCTGCAGGACATGCTGCTGCAGAGTACTTACAAATTTGGGGTACATTTCCTGGGTGGTGCATCTTAGTTGAAGGGAAAAGTGAGAAATTTCCTCTCATTGATTTAATACCTCCTTAGAAGCAGAATAAAACAGATGACTTTGCAACTCACTGTTTTACTAATTTCCTCTCGACTACTCTGCCAGTCGTGTCTCATGTTGCACATAAATGTAAAAACAAAAAAAAAGACACGCTTTTTCCCCCCCGAGTGCCAAACAAAGATGCAGTTTGTCCTTACACAAAATCACCTTGCCTGATATCTTCCCAACTTGACCCAAGATGAGATTATGAAGAAGCGCATCCCATTCTTAATACTGGCTAAATCAACCTGTTCTGAGTACACAAAAGGTCACCATCTGTTTCCACTCTGGCATTTTTCACTGGTACAGATAGCCCAACAATACTTAGGGCAAGAGAATTTGAGATGTTATCTCCAGCATCAACAACGATGATCAAAGCACTCAGTGACAACCACCTATTTTTCAGTAGGCCACTGACTTCTCATGCTGCAAACATTTAATTATTGATGTTCATTGCCTTTACAAACCGCAATATGATCATCTAAAGCAAGACTCACATCAGCGGGAACCATCAATCACTCTATAAAAGCCACAGCAAGCTAGGATGATGCCTGTGTAATCGCTTGTAGTTCACTTAGCTGATAGGCAGCTGTCCTGTTGGACAGCTCTACTGGATATTTTCATCACAACATTTTTTTTCTGTACCCTATCAAATCTGGCTGCACAGTGTATGGCCAGATCCTTGAAGTTTAAGACAGAAAAGTTTCTATTAATCCACAACCACAGGACCTGGTCAATTAATTTGAGCCTCAAGTTCAGGTTTTATATAAAAATTAAATGTTAACAGATTTTTGGAAAAAATAATCAAAAATTTAATATTTGTTTTTTCTTTAGGACAGGAAGTGGGGCATACTTATTTGCTTGCAGCAGTGACCCCAGGCAGTATTAGACCCAATGCATGATCACCAGAAAGTGAAAATGACTAGCAACTGAAAGGGAAACATATTAACCTAATTTTATTGTACAGAATGGAGTTTCTAAATGCTATAGATGGGGAAAATAGAAAGAAAACAATGAATATTTAAAAAGCATAATGTACATTCTATTCCAACAAGGCTTCCTAGTATATGTCTACACAGCCAAGGAAAACCTGAGGCTGGTCGCCAGCTGCCTCCAGCTCACAGGGCTTGGGCTACAGGGCTGTTTCTTTGCTGGAAAGGCTTCAGACTTGGCCAGGAGATTGGTTTCTAGGATGCTGCAAGGTGGGAGGATCCAAGAGCCCAAGCTCCAGCCAGAAGCTAAACATCTACTCTGCAATTCAACAGTCCCATAGTCTGAGCCCTGCCAGCTCCTGACAGGGACTAGCTGCCAGTGTCTAACTGTAGGGTAGACGTACCCTTGATGACCGTGGTTTTCAACCTTTTTTCATTTGCAGACCCCTTAAAACATTTCCAATGGAGGTGTGGACCCCACTGGACATCTTAGGCATAGTCTGTGGATCCCTTCCAGGAGGGCAGACCACAAGCTGAAAACTGCTACTCTAAGACAACCTCTTTTGTCACAATAATCCATATATTTCCTCTACATTGGGGGCTGGCCACCCCTGGTACGCGTGCCACAAGTGGCATGCGAGCCAATTTTCTAGGCATGCAAGGTGGGAGCTCAGTGCTGCCCCTGCTCCCCGACAGCTGGGAGCCTGTACCACTGTTTCTTTAATGTGCGCTCCTATGTGGCAATGCACAAAAAAATCGAAGCCTGCCCACCTCCGCAGCAGCACTCACTTTCCTCCTGGTCCTGGAAGATGAGTGTCGTGGCTGCTACTGCTGACAAGGGCAGGGACAGAGATGGCCCAGGGCTGCGTTGGGGAGGGGAGGGTAGGTGGGCTGATCAGAGGGGAGGGCACAGGCAGCCTGGGGGGTGGGGAATCGGGTGTCGTTGCAGCCACGGATGGCCAGTGCCATTTGGGGGCGGGCTGCCACTGGGGCTGAGGCCACATTGTGGGGCACATGGCAATTCGGGCCTAGAACACGTGGCGACCAGGCAAGTTTCTGCCACAGCACGTTGAAGCTGCAGGCGCGCTAGGGACCAGGGAGTGCAGGCGGGCATGGGAGGCCTGAAGACTGGAGGCGGTCGGTTGGTGAAACCGTGGGCAGCTTGGGGACTAGAAGAGGGTGTTATGCAGCTGTGCGCAGCCAGTTCTGTATTGGGGGCCAGCTGCTGCTGGGGCCACATTGTGAGGGGGACGATGTTTTGGGCCTAACAACATGTGACAGTTGTGTTGGTTGCTGACACGACATGTTAAAGCCGTGGGCAGGTTAGGGACCAGAGGAGGTGTTGCAGCTGTGAGCGGCCAGATTAGGGACCGACTGCCGCTGGGGCTGAGGCCTCATTGTGGGGTGGATGGCGTTTCAGGCTTAGAACACGTGGTGGCCAGGCTGGTTACTTCCGTGGCATGTTGGAGCCGCAGGTGGGCAGGTTGGGGACTGGAGGGAGGGGGTATTACAGCCGTGGGCAGGTTGGAGACCAGAGGGTCAGTGTTGCAGCCGTGGGTAGGTTGGGGAATGGAGTGGGGGTGTTGAACCTGCGGGCGGGTGGACTGCAGCTGCCAGGGGTTAGAGCGGGTAGGTAGGTTGCTACTGTGAGGGGTTGAATCTGGGGGTTGAATATGTATTGCATATCCTGAAAATCTATTGCTCTTTGCATATGCATAGTACTGACTGGCTTGTGTGCTGCTTAAAGAATCAAACTATGAGCCTGAGATCGGAGAACTCAGCAAGGACAAGGATCACACTAAATAGTAAGATCTACATCTTAAAGTATTAATTAATGAAGCTGCTAAAATGTAAGTAGGACTATTATTGTCTTTTTAAAACTATCACTGGCACTTGGACCCATACCCAGAAGTGAATAGGGCAAAACTCAGCACTCCACCTCTGAAAGGTTGGTGACCCCTGCTCTATACAATTATTAGTGATTCACACTGTTTTGAAGTTCTCAAGATACACATTCATACATTGCTAGTTAATTAATGAGTTAGAGGCAGGATCAAAGAAATCTTAACGGTCTACATTCTAAAGACATTATGGGCAAACATTTCAAAAGTGCGTAAAAGACCAAGGATCCTATGTCCCATTCTCACTGGTAATTAGGCACTCTAGATACTGCATTTCATCTGTCTGTGATTCTACCTTCTATTGGTAATTCCCCAAATCATCCTGTTATAGTTTCAATTGTCTATCCCTTTGCAGGACATTATGTTTTCAATCTTAACCTACTGGACGAAAGGAAAAATAAGAAGGAAGGCCTCAAAGAGCAATGCATTACTTAAATTAAATGCTAGTTAAGCCTACTCTCAGAGAACAAAAAGAAAAATGAATGTCTGCAACATGAGTACTTAGCACACAATAGCCATGCAATTCCCTTGGGTACTGCTGAACTGTCATTCCTTTATTAGTGACTATTCAGAATAGTGAAATGCATCTTGAAAATTCATACCTTTCCCCAAGAGCTTTGTGCTCGACTTCCAGATTTTTGTGCAATGTTTTCAGGCAGCTGTGCTGCTTTATTAGCATTTCATATTCTGTGGACTGTCTCTCATGCAGTGAAGCAAGGTATTCGTGGTCCTGCAGCAGAGACTCATACTCAGCTTTGAGCTGGTCTTTCTGTTTCAGTAGATTTTCATTCTCATTTTCCTTAGCTGTCTGCTGGTTTTGAAGTAAAGCATTCTGGGCCATCAGTGAAGTGCTCTGGGAGCTCAGAGTTGAATTTTCTACCTAAAGTTTCTCAAATAAAAAGTAATTATATTTACATACACAAGCTGGTACATACGACATGCTATGCAATTTACATGCTGACATGGGTAACACACAAAAACATGCTTATAATTATTGGGAACAAAGAAATTTGGAAAAGATTCTTGAGCAACCTTTTAGTAGTAATTACAGGATATGAAGTCATGGCCTACGTGAGATCAATATTTGTCCTGTAGCAAGACAATCCAAAAGCTGACACAGCAGTTTTAAGGCCAGATTACAAAAAGGTAAGGAAACTGGAACATTTGGGTCCCATGTATAATGCTGACAAGAGTGTACAAAAGCTTAAGTGGGTACTTGTTTGTATTCAACTGAATGTTAATTTCACCTACTGCAACTGTGGGTGAAATTCACCATAGTGCGGGGGAGCCATTTGAAACCTATCTACCACCAAAATCTCAGTTAAGATGACTTTTGGTACTTGCATGGTGCATTGGCTTAGTGGTGAATACATGGTTAAGAGTAGGACTAAGTGCTGAAGGATGCATGTTGAGAAAGTGGAAGTTAAGTTCAAGTGGAGGTCAGAATAAGATTAATTTAAAAAGTTTCCATTTAAACTGCTTTGATAGAAAATGGGGTTTTCAAGAAATGAAATCGTTCGCGTCTCCTTTTCATGGAAAATTTTGAATTTTTATCAAGAAACCAACTGCCAGAAACCTATAATATATTGATTTGGATATACCACCCATTCTCACTTTCCTGGGAAAGTGCTTTCTGGTCACAGTATACAAAGAAAAAAAGAATTAACATGAAGAAGGATGGTATGATAGACTACTACACCTGGAACAGCATGCTGGAACTACTAATTACTAAATCAGGTACTATAAATAGCAACTTTATGCCCTGGCTGAAATGTTGGATCCAAACCCTTTTTAATTTGAATAAATTCAGATCTGAATCTGACCTTCCCTGCTTGAGCATCATCTGCATTGTTTACTGTCAACATCGAAAGCTTCCTGTTATGCATCCAGCTTCTCCACACAACTAAAAGCAAATCCATAGTTTCATGATATATTGGTATTTGGTTCTGACCTGGAGCTTGGCTGTTTGGGTTTGCAGAGCTGTGTTGTGCTCCTGAAGGAAGACATTTTGCTTCTGTAGTGTCAGGATTTGGTTGTTGAAAGAGAGGTTCTGCATTTCCAAATGCTTCAGCTGTTCTTTAAGCAGCTGCTTCTCAACATTAAGGGCTGCATTCTAACAGAGAAACAAAATAGAAGGGTAGGGGGAGGAAAAAAATATACAACTGTTTTGATTATTTAGAGCCTTATCAAGTGTGAAAACAAACTACTGATACCCCTTACATAATGAAGTTTTAACAGCTAACACTTCACAGCATTAAACCAAAGTTGGAATAGATGTTATTGTGCAAGATTCACTTCTGGACAGAGGTCAGCACAAGACTTATTTGCCACTAAAATCCTATATAAGACCTCAAGGTGAGCGCTTAAGTAGCACATAGACCTCCTGCTGATTCTCTGCACACGGAGTGAATTTCCCTTTCAATGACAAAATTATTCCAAATTGTGGTCCATTACACAAATTGTATGGCCCATTACCATTGTATAGCCCATTACCATTGTACATTGGTGGGTAATCTGTGGCCTGCATGCAGCCCATTGGGGTTCTGTGTGTGGCTCATGAGACATTTTGTTTACTGCTGCCCACGTGCAGGGTGGCCAGATTCCGCTGGTTTCCATTCACATAGGCTTTTTTCCCCCTACCAGTATCACTACAGTGAACACACATGTAAAGCAAAGGGCATGTGAAGTGAGGTGTGTGCTGACAGCACGCACCTCCCCTACCAGTATCACTACAGTGAAACACACGTAAAGCAAAGGGCATGTGAAGTGAGGTGTGTGCTGACAGCACGCAACATTGATTGTGAGAGCCACGTGTTCCTTCAGCATGCAATCAAAGTGCTGCTACGGTTCAATAGGCACACGACGCAAAGTCTAGGTATGCAAGTGCACTTTGCAAAACTATCCTAGCCTGGGAGACTATCTTGGTTATGACAGTCTTGTGGCCCACCAAGATAAAGGAGGGCCACTCATGTGGCCCTCTCACTAGCTTAGGTTGCCCATAATATCTGAGCTCCCGACAATCTTCAATGTATTTATCCTCATAATGACCCTGTGAGCCTCATTTAACAGATGGGGAACTTAGCAAAGGTCCCCCAGGAAGACTCTGGTGGAACAAGGAATAGAATCCCTGACTCTTGAGTCCCAGGCTAGTGCTTTGACCACTGTTTCTCTCTGGATACACAGAACTCAGGGTCGCTTCCTACTTTCAAAAATTACACAAACCTCCCAAAATGCCTTATGCCTGCAAATCGAAGGAAAAGACTTACATTCCTTTCCAGCTCTATAGCCCTGTCTTTCACTTTCAGCAGTTCCATTGTTGTTTCTTGATGTCCCACTTCCCACTTCTCTTTATTCTGGTGGCTAGAAACACATTTTTCTGCAGGAGATTTTAACAAGTTCTGCACACGTGGCCCATCTTCTTGGTTTTGTTTAAGAACTTCAAAATCCTTCTTTATCTATGAAATGGACAAGATACATCTGTAAAACTCACTTAAAGGTAACTGTGGAAAACTCAAATAAAATAAAACTCAATAATAATAATTAGGTCTTATGCAGAATTTTTTCTTGTGATTTCAAGGTACTTTATAAAAGATGTGGGGAGAAGAATATAATTATCCCCATTTTACAGATAGGGAAATTGAGATACAGAGGAGAAATTATAACTCAAGAAAGGAATGCACACCTCTCATTCCCAGTCAGGTGCTCTCTCCAATTAAGTAATAATAATAAAAAGGTTATACCCTAGTATAGGGATTTTCAGAAGCATTCAAAATTGGCTTAACTCTGTTCTCGTTGAAGATTATTTTTTATTTGCACTACTGTTGTATCTAAGAGTCCTAGTGCTGAACAAAAAGATGACGCCAGCTCCAAAAAGCTTACAATCTAAGCATAAGACAAGAGACAACAGCTGGTAGTAAAACTCCATGACTTCAAAAGGAAATAAGACTAAGGCAAAGCTGAGCACTCTTGAAAATCTCATCCTGGACTCCAAAAAACCAATCTGAGCATTGTTAGTACTGATATATAGAATATGACTGAAGAAGGCATTTAAGTTAAACAGGGGTTTGGTTTTTTTGGGGGGGTACCTGTTTCTCTTGAGTAAAATTGTGTTGTGCCAACCTATAGAATTGTTAAACCTTAAAATGGAGTTTCCTCTTACTGTATTTAGCTCATTCTGCAACTGCTGATTCAAGTTAAGAGACTCTTCCACTTGAGCCTGTAATGATACAATCTTTTCTTCTTTAATAGCTAGTGTTGTCTTTAGTGCGGATTCACTTTTGCTTTCCAGAAGCTTGTATTTTCTGAAAGACAATGAAAACAGCATTCCAACATTTTTCACTGGAAGACATGTAACCATCTGGCTAGTGTACATTTCTCTCCCACATTAAAAATCTTATAATTACATATATTTGCCTTTTGATATACACCTGGTTTCCATCCTTACTCTATATTTTTGCATTTGGACAAAATGTAAATTGAAAGATGACTAGAGAGGAAAAAAACTGCCTATGGGAAATACCAACAGATTTTAATAGGGATAAAACCAATTCAATTCTATAGAACAAAGAAAAACTATGGAATTCAATATAGAATAACCTATTTTTTTCTATCCATACTGTAAAATTTAGAAGAGAACTATATCCCTGCTAAGAGTTCCTATAGATTGCAGGGAAACCCAATCCTACATAATTCTGCATTAAAAATATTGTTCTCTATTAAATTATATAGGACATTTCAAAAAGCCTAAAAAAAAAAAAGATTTTTTTTTTGTTAAATTCTATAGGACTTGCCCATCAGAGATGTCCTGTGCCACACCTTTACACATTAGATTTATTTTCACATCTGGCTGGATCATCAATTAAATGTTAGAGGCACAGAATGCTCCACGTAAAGAATAATGGTCAAGTAAGTATATTTTACCTTCCCAGCAGAGTTCAACTATAAATATAGTTAGCAGGTGGCAAAAATTGTTACCCTTTTTACATCTAAAAATTGCCTCCCTCCTCAAGTGAAGGCAGAACTTAGGACACAAATCACCATAAGTGTTTCCAGAAGCAAGTTTCATGAAGATAAGTGAATGTAAATGGAAGCTTTGATTCTGAACCCACACTATTTTCTACACTGGTATAAGCTCCTTCATTGGAGTTACTCATGGTATAATCCACTGTGTAAAAGGTCAAAATACTACATGCTGCCTGCTAAATTTAGAGGGGTACACAAAACAGCTATAAGCCAGATACACTGTAGTACGAAGCAATGTAATGGTTAAGTTAATGTCATCAGTACAGCACACTGGAATGGAATTCATTTCCCTTTTAAGTAGCTACTGAACACTGCTGTTATCTGCCTACATAATTTCCATTAAGGCTTGTTACAGTGTCTTAGGCTTTGTTTTCTAACAATAGAAAACACAAATGGTTTCATATTGTCTCTCTTGGCTACAGCATGAAACTGTGATTTCAATGGGGTGGATGGAGGTGGGAGGGGCTGGTGGTGGTTCCTTTACTTTTAACCCTTCAAAAATACTGTTGTAATCGTCTAAATCACCATAGCTTACAATACTCCCGCTGGAGTGCTCAGTATAAAATACTGCAGCATTTTCCTTTATGAAGAGTGTAGTCACAATAGGCTCCCATGTGTGAGATTTTTGCCATACCTCTATTCCCCTTTCCCCACATCAGTTAAAACCCCCTACTAGTAACAATTGCTTTAGTGTTGCTTGGATCTAGTCTATGACCCTGATGGGAACGGAAAAGAATAAGGACAGCCCCCATGCTTTCAGGAACAGCCCTTTTCCAACCTGCATGCTGGCTGCCTTACTTCATAAATATATTCAGAGTCTCACAGAACTGATGTGCGGGTGAAGACATGCACATACAAAATGTCAAAATGAAGAAACAAAAGGCTGGGGTGAGCAGAGTTTAAAGAGTTATGGAGTTACACTGTAAGGAGCTCAGTTTCCTCACTTGTCATTGCCATTATCATCCTGTAGCAGCAGCTCTTTGTTCAGTCCAATCTTCTCCAGCTCTTGGCTCAGTTTGTCCATCTCACTAGACAACTGTTGTCTCTTTAATTTTTCAAGGACCAAATCCTGTAACAACACTAACATCATTAATCATCATATAGAAGACAAAGGACCAGTGATTTTAAAAACCGTGGAGAATGATAAGGGCTTTGGATGAAAACCTGACTCCATTAAAGTCAAAGAGAGTTTTCCCATTGATTTCAGCAGGGTCAGGATCTCACCCACTGTTTTTGTAGCCTGCTTCTTTTCTCAGACCCATGTATAGTAAGAGCAATTCCACTGTCTATCATTGTGAGAGGAGAGTCAGATGTTTTGTTTGAAACAGCAGTCTACTTTCAGTCTCTATTTGTAGAATAAATTATGGAGATTTTACCTTCAGATTTGGGCCTTTGTTAATTTGAATTTAATTGTTTGTGCTTCCATTAGCATCATGTTGCTAGCATATTGTAGAACTGAGACCATTTTGTTAGTGAATTTATATTGGACCAGCAGAGGGAGCTCACAGTCTTCTGAGTCTAACCGCAAGAAGAAAACAATTTTTTTATAATTACAAGTAAAAGTAATTAAAAAAAGTCTTCAGAATAGTAAAAAGCTAACTAACGAAACACAAATACATGATGCTAATGGAAGCACAAATGATTAAATTCAAAACAAGTGATGGGACATCAATTTACTAATTTCCTGTGATAATTAAATAAGATTTTCAATGTACTACTCTGTGCATTTACAGTATTGAAGGCTTTTTCTATACCTAAGTGTTGGCTAGATATGGAAATTTACTAGCTAGAGTATAGCAGTATAACTCTCAGTGTGCACACTCTACTCTGGTATTCAAGTACCTTTTTCTGGTTTTGGTTATGCTGCTTTCAAATAATTTTTAATTACACCAGAATAAAGAAGTGTCCACCCAGGGAGATATACTACTATAAATATAGCAGTATAATTACACCAATATAATTATGCCAATAAGTTTCCCTGTATACCTAAGTCCTAAGTATGTAAAAGAAAACACTGACATGTAAAGTAAAAACTTCTTGATTTCACTGTTAGATTCCATTTCCAAAAGCAACATCTGTTTAGTCTGCAGAAGCAAAAAGAGTGAAGGGGAATTTGATAGCAGCCTTCAACTTCCTGAAGGGAGGTTCCAAAGAGGATGGAGAGAGGCTGTTCTCAGTAGTGACAGATGGCAGAACAAGGAACAATGGTCTCAAGTTGTGGTGGGAGAGGGCCAGGGTGGATATTAGGAAAAACTATTTCACTAGGAGAGTGGTGAAGCACTAGAATGGGTTACCTAGGGAAGTTGTGGAGTCTCCATCCCTAGAGATTTTTAAGTGTCTGCTTGACAAAGCCTTGGCTGGGTTGATTTAGTTGGGATTGGTCCTGCCTAGGGCAGGGGCCTGGACTTGATGACCTTCTGAGGTCTCTTCCAGCTCTATGGTTCTATGTTTCTATGAAATGATTTTGGATGTCCAACTGGAGGTAACCTTTAAAGACTCCTGATTTTCCTGAGCACCCAGGATGCTTTTGAAAGCTTTGGCATATTATATAAACAGAGAGAGAGAGAAAGAGGGAGAGAATACTACAATGAGTGAAAACATCTCACTTAAATTAATGGGAATTTTGTCATTGACTTCCATGGAGCCAGGATTTCACCCAGTACTTATACTTCAGTGATTCAAATAAACGATTGGAAAAACAGTATTATAAAAACCACACATCCAATTTAAGCTTGCACACAAGACCCAATGCCTCTTAAATGGTTCTGCATGACTTCTGAGACAATTATATTCCAAAAGGATATGGATTATGGGTGAAAAGCATATTTTGACATTTAAGGTGCAGTTTCCTCTAACTGTTTATGTATGTTCTTCCTATTGACAATATGACTGCCACAAGTTTTCTTTTAAATTATATTTATGTATTTCTAGAATTAAATTTAAAAAATCAGAGGGGGGACACAGCTGATTTAAGGATTTCAGATACAGTAAAATATTAGACAAAATAATTTAAATTATTTCAGGGCTTTACACTAAGGCGTGATCTATAATATCAATGGATGCTTATGCTATGTCAAAGTGAGAGTGTCTCCTGTCAACATAGCTACTGCCTCTCAGGGAAGTGGAGTACCTATACCTATGGGACAAGCAATCCTGTTGGCTCATGTAGTGTCTGCACTAAGTGCTACAGTGCTGTAAGTGCAGACAAGCCCCAAGACTACTTCCTCATCTAGATTTGTTCTTAAACCATCATGGGGAGGAGGGAGAGGGGCAGACAACTGATAAAAATATTTTTCCCAAGAAACATTTTCTGAAACTAAGAAAATGGATGCTGAACAGGAGCTAGACTGAAAGAACTAAATATTCAAATGTTCTCTCTCCAGTGCCTCCAAGAAATGTAGCCAAATGTGTTCATATGAAATCATTTGTTTAGACCATGGAAAACTAATCGGAAGTATAGATTATAACAGCACTTAGGTCAGCGTTTCTTAAACTGTGTTTCGTGGCACACCAGTGTGCCGCAAGGCAGTTGGAGGTGTGCTGTGGAGAACAACAGAGTTCAAAATAGCTGCCCTTAAAGGGACAGGCAACCTTTTCTTTTGGTCAATAACTTTCCCCCAACTGTTGAGAGAGGTGTGTCCGGCCCCACCTCTCCGCTAACCAGTACCGGATAGAGGCAGGGTCTCCTCTGGCTGCAGAATAGCGCCTCTGTGTGGTGAGAGTGCTGCGCAGAATGAGGTCTCCTTCTGGCCATGGAAGAGTGCTTCCCTACCCAATGGGAGGGTCGTATCTTTCGCAGCTGGGAGGAGACCCTGAGCCTGTCTGCTGCTGGTTGGCGGAAAGGCAGGGCAGAACATGCCTCTACCAACAGCCGTGGCAAGAGTGGTGTACCCCAACCCCCAGAGCTGTCATGGCCTGGCAGCCAGGGTCCGTAGCTTGGCATTGGGAACCACTGCCTGAAACATTTGACCATTTAACTAAATTACCTCAATATCTAAAATGTTGTCTTGTGTGTCCTTATACTTTCTATAGAAAATTTGAGGAATACTAGAAATACTTCCTTGCACCACAGTCCTCAAACCACATCTGAATTTGTCCACACAAACCCCACTAGTTTTAACAGGACTCTGTCTGGGCTGTATGCTCCCACCATATGGATACCATTATAGGAACAGGTCCTTATTAACCTTGTGCATCAGGTTTTTTTTTTTAAGGATCCACCACTGTACAATACACTATGCACAGGAAGTGTTGCCATGTGCCACTGCAGAAAAATTTTAGGACTCCACTGTAGTGAATGCAAAACTTAGCCTGAATTTAGCATAGAGTTATGGACACCAACTAAAACACTGCAGTTCTAGTATTTTATCTTGGACAGCAGCACAGCCTGTGATGTAAAATTTCAAGACTCATGTCTCCCAATTTACAGTCTGGATCAAACTGACATGAAATGGACCACTGTGTACATTACCTAGAACAAATTAAGTAAATAAGATACATGCGATGAAGGAAATGTTATTTTAATTACCTCTCTCAATGTAGCTAGTGTTCTTTTATCAATGGTAACTTGCTTTATAAGATCTTTATTGTCTTTTTCAAATTCTTTCATCTTATTAGATGAGTCTCTGAATCGAGCAATTTCTTTTTCAAGTGTTCTGTTTTCCTTCTCCAAAGCTGCCAGCTTTACTGTATTATCATCCAAAATAGAATCTTTCAACTCCACCTGCTGCCAAAGCCGTTTTGTTTCCTTTTCCAGCATTTTTTTATCTTTCTCCAGTTGAGACACCTCCTGCTCCAGCACTTTGTTCTCCTTTTCTAACCTCTCCTGCTGTTTGCTGGAAATCTTCAGCTCTTCAAGTTTTCTCTGGAGGACCTGATTTTCACTTTCCATTTCCTGTAGCTCTTTCTCTAGCTCTTGGTTTTTTTTGCTGCTGCTTTCTAGAATCTGCTGAAGCCTCTGATTCTCAGAGTTCACACTCTGATAGCTCAGCTCCAGCCTTTCCGACTTCTTGCCCAGTGTTTTTAACATCTCCACATTTTTCCTTAGCTCTTCTTTCTCCCTCCCCAGCTCTTTGTTTTCTGCCTCTATCTGAACCATTTTTGTGTTGGTAAATCTCATAGTCTCTACCATCCTCCTGAGCTCCAAGTTCTCTTCATCCAGTTGCTTATTGTCCCTCTGCAGGTCCTCTAGCCGGATGGAAACATTCTGAAACGTGTCCAGGGACTTCCTCAACTTCCTGTTCTCTACCTCCAGATCCCCATTTTCCTGCTCTAGAGCCTCAACTTTCTCTGTCACAATTTTCATGGCTGCTGCCTTCTTTGTAAGCTGTTCGTTCTCCCTCTCTAGCCGGTGGAGCTCTTTTTCCATTTCCTCCACTCTTTCTACCTTTTCTTTAACCTGTTCAAAATCTTTGTGCAATTGTTTTTTCTCAAACTCCAGCTTGCTGAGCCTGCTACTAGTCTCTGTAACTGTTTCATGAAGCATCTTGTTCTCCTTTTCAATGTCTTTTACTCGGGCCTCACTACTAACTTGAGCCCTCTGTCTCAAGGACAAAACCACTTGGTTGAGGTGGTCGTTCTCTTGTTTGAGATCCTTTATCTACATTAAAAATAAAACAAGGTTACCAGGCAGGCTGAAGAGAGTTGTCTATAATAGAGTAGATGGTGCCTGAGGTATTGATAGAATGTTTTTTAGAGTGATACAGAGTCTGGTAATTTACCCTTGAAACAGAACTCTGTATTGACAAAATAATGCCTATTTAATGCAACAAATTCTTCAACAGTTTAGTCATTGGCATCCCTGACTGAAACCCTTCCCACCAATCCAAACTAAGAAATCGGCTTCTTGAAGAAAATTTGGCTTTATCCAGCCCTTTTAATACTACACACAAGGTATCTGAAGGTACTAATGAGTTAAACATTACGCTTTATTCCTTTCACAATCTTGAACTATGCAGGTCCAGGTCAGTGCATGGGTTGGGAGGTCTCCATGGAACAGCTTGGACATGATTATTTCTTATAAGCCACTCCTGTCTCTGGGTCAGATTGAACCAGTGCCCTAACACAGTGCTCAGGTGCACTGTTTCCTCTTTCTAGGTTCTTATTCCCCACTCATCACTGTGATAATGCAACGCCCATGTGCCCTATTTCTGATCAGATGTAAAATTAACATGCTGTACACTAGTACTTGCTAAAGAGTTCATTAAAGAAATATTCTTTGGAAGACAAGACATCATGATTTCTTGAACAAATTGAGAATTATGTTGGACCAAATATTCAAACTCTTAGGCAAATTTTTACCTAATTCTTACTCAGGCAGAAGGCAAATGGATTAAGCCTGAGGAAAGGACATCAGGTCCTTTCTGCCTACCCTACATACAGTTTTCTTCACTTCCTGTCCTAAATATAAAACATCTAATTCTGGTCATATCATGAGGCGCTCCGGTGTGTTCTTACACACAGTGGCATCTCAGCTGTATTTCAGAGGGGAGTTTTCCCTGAGAATAAATCTGTAAAGCACTTGAAAAGCCTTCAGGATGAAAGGCACTCTACAAATGCAGGGTTTATTTTTATCATTTAACCCCACTCCTCGTCACACAAATCAATTTAATAAATTTTAAAAGCAAGCAGACCACCCATCAATGACCTACATGTCTATTCCCTTTACTAAATCACTAAGTATGAATGATACCTTGTAATCTTATAAAATAGTGGTATTTACTCGAGTTGCATCACTGCAGTAGAGGCTGGAGGGCATTTAAAATGTTCTCAGCAATTTTTTTTTTACTTAGATCAAGGAAACTACCATGACACATAGCAGGTATCTATCCACTCTTTGCAGCAATATGGGATTTTAGCTGTACATCCTAATCTGTCTAGTCAAGCCTTTTTGAAGGGCAGGAAAGAACCAATCTTATAAACAACTTGAAGGTTCTCAAAGAGCAATAGGATGAGCAGCAGATACCTTCATATGTAGTTATTTTTGCTCAAAGCCATCTTTACTTATATTTGAACAAGTGTTCTGCATGCAATATGCTGCTGTCTCTTACCAAGCCCCTTCAGCTATTAAGACCTTCTAAATGGCCATAGTAAAAGGGCCACAGCTGAGCATAAGTTTCTGGATCATATTTGTGGTCTGTACCTGTCTGTCTTTGTCGGCTTTTACAGTCTCCATAACACCCTGTAACTGTTCTTTCTCTTTCATCAGCTCCTCGCTGAAAGTCTCCAAGTCTTGGTTGCTTTGTTTCTCTTTTTCAATCTGATTTTGCAACTTCTCAATCTGCATGGAGAAAGCACCACAAAATGCATCAGACAACAAACTGAACCATGACTATTTTTATTTTAGGGCATTTTGAAAAGCAGAGATTAAACAAATTACCAAAATTATATCCATTTCTGAAGGGCTATTTCAAACCAACAAGACTGAGAAGACTAATCCTTCCCTTCTAAACATTGCCAACATCTGTCTGACCAACTACACAAATTTAGATCAGAATTTTCAGAAATCCAAAAGTTAGCCAGGGGCTGGAGTGAAATCCTGGCCCTATTTAAGTTAATGGTAAAACTCTCATTGATTTCAATGGGACCAGATTTTATGTCTGGTAACTCAAGTTGGACACCCAAAATGGAGGCTTATGTCCAAATAAATCTGTTAGTCTTTAAAGGGGCCATAGGACTCCGCATTGTTTTTACAAAATGAGAACACACCTCTAAAAATGTGGCTGCTAGTTCTTTGGTATCTCCACTTATGCCAATATTTAGCCCTTACTGCCCTTAATTCTTATGTTCAATATAATAGTCTCCTTACCTCCCTATTTGCATTAACAATCCAACAAATCTGAGGGAACTTTGATTTGGTTTATTGTTATTCTTTACATTACTTCTTCCTCCATTAAAACCTCTTCTATCATCACCCCTTTTCTACATTCACTATACTGACACCCAGGCCATTTGTGTAGAAGTTGTTAATATCTGTGTAGCTGCTGCATTAAGAAAAACCATCCCATTTTACCAGGGAGCTGACAGGATTGCCAGGCCCCTGGGCAATGCGGGGAAAGGAGGGCCATCTCCCTGCTTTTGAAAGGGGCAGGTCCTTGAGTGGAAGGGCTGAAGCCGGGACAGACAGCCCCCGTGCCATCCAGACAGTGCGGTGCCCCCCGCCGGCCCTCAGATCCAGCTAAAGAGTGTGACACGAGGCACTGGAGTGTGCCACACGGCGCTCCCGCAGCAATTCTAAAAGGGCTGGAGCTCCAGCTACTGCTGCCCTGTGCCCTTCTCACATACCCACGTCAGCAGGCCTAGACTCTACAAATATCCACTGTCCATTCTCGGAATTGCAGTTTTGCCAACATCAGGAATCTCAGCATTATAGGGTTCTACACAGCATGTGTGGGAAGATACATTTTGTTTAAAAAACAAACAAACCAACAAGTCTATTTCTTAGTGTCTACAGATCCTGTACCAGTGACACTCTAGCTGAGCAGGCAAATGACTGTGCAGAAACTTCTTCTCTAATCCCCTTGAATAGTTAACAGACCCACTAGCAATATGATCTGACAGTGATATTCGATCAACACCTGCAGACTAGGTTAGCTCCCATTACAACCTAGGTCCCTGTTCCAAACTGATGTGTCATTAGCAATGAATTTTAGTTCTGTTTCATGAATCTCAGCTGTTCTTGGTCACAACACTTTAAACCCATTGGCATTTTTGATCGTCTGCCTCATGGCCAAAAAATCCACCCCACCCTTGCATTGGCATTCTCTATTATAGGGTAATACAACTTATTTAGGCACGGGGATCAAACCTAGGCTTGGTAACATTCTTCCGCTGCTAAAGCAGGAGAAAAATCGGATTACTGCTGAGCCCACAAGGGTCGGTACCAATATAAGGAAAATGGGAAAGCGATCAGGAATAGTCAACATGGATTCACAAAGGGCAAATTGTGCCTAACCAATCTGATTAGCTTCTACAATGAGGTAACTGGCTCTGTGGATATGGGAAAGTCAGTGGATGTGATATACCTTGACTTTAGCAAAGCTTTTGATACAGACTTCCACAATATTCTTGCCAGCAAGTTAAGGGAATATGGATTGGATAAATGGACTGTAAGATGGATAGAGAGCTGGCTAGACTGTTGGGCCCAACGGGTAGTGATCAACAGCTCGATGTCAGGATGGCGGTCAGTTTCTAGCGGAGTGCCCCAAAGATCTGTTCTTGGTTTTGTTCAACATCTTTATTAATGACCTGGATGAGGAGATGGATTGCACCCTCAGCAAGTTTGCAGATGACACTAAGCTAGGGGGAAGAGGTAGATACGCTGGAGGGCAGGGATAGGTTACAGAGTGACCTCGACAGATTAGAGGATTGGGCCAAAAGAAATCTGATGAGGTTCAACAAGGACAAGTGTAGAGTCCTGCACTTGGGATGGAAGAATCCCAAGCATTGTACAGGCTGGGGACTGAATGGCTAAGTAAAAGTTCTGTGAAAAAGGACCTTGGGATTACAGTGAATGAGTCAACAGTGTACCCTTGTAGCCAAGAAGGCTAATGGCATATTAGGGTGCATTAGAAGGAGCATTGCCAGCAGATCCAGAGAAGTGAATATTCCCCTTTATTTGGATCTGGTGAGGCCACATCTGGAGTATTGTGTCCAGTTCTGGGCCCCCCACTATAGAAAGGATGTGGATGCACTGGAGAGGATCCCGGGAGAGCAACCAAAATGATTAGGGGGCTGGAGCATATGACCTATGAGGAGAGACTGAGGGATTTGGGTTTGTTTAGTCTGCAGAAGAGAAGAGTGAGGGGGGATTTGATAGCAGCTTTCAACTTCTTGAAGGGAGGTTCAAAAGAGGCTGGAGAAAGGCTGTTCACAGTAGTGACCGATTGCATAACGAGGAGCAATGGTCTCAAGTCACAGTGGGAGAGGTCTAGGTTGGATATTAGGAAAAACTATTTCACTAGGAGGGTGGTGAAGCACTGGAATCCGTTACCTAGGGAGGTGGTGGAATCTCCATCGTTAGAGGTTTTTACATCTCGGCTTGACAAAGCCCTGGCTAGGTTGATTTACTTGGGATTGGTCCTGCTTTGGGCAGGGGGGGCTGGACTTGATGACCTCCTGAGGACTCTTCCAGCCCTAGGATTCTATAATAACGCCACAGCTTGGGGCACCCAAATACACTTGTGTGTAGTAAGACAAAGTTGATTGCAACTGTTCAAATGACTCAAGTTGCTGGGCACCAGAGATATCTGTTGGGAAACTTTCGCCCTTAGAGTTCAAGTTCTGAATATTTTAATTAGAGAATTTAGCTAGAATGACTGTCACAAATGGGCCCATGAGGAAGTGGAGCGGGAGTAGGGGAGATACATTTTTGCAGACTATGTGTTTTGTCCAGACTAGGACTCTGTGAAGTGGACTTTGTTCTCTCACATTGGTAAAAGCACCCCTCAAAGTGTTCCCTGGATGAGGGGGTACCAATCCTCTCTTACTGGCATAGAGGCAGATACTGTGCTAATCATAACCTGCCAGTCTACATTTAGACTATTTTCTCCAACACAGCAAACGGGCTCTCCCATTTAGGGCTTCCTAACAGTCCGGCACACCTTTAAACAGTAAGATGAGCAAAGAACAGAGCCCAACATGTTTCGGGGCTGAAGTGTTTTATAAGCTTGTATCAGCAACACAAAATACACTGGTTACAGCAAAAGAGAGAAATGGGGGGAGGGCCCCATAACGTGTTCCGTGTGTGTGGAGGGGTGAGGAGAACTAAGTCCCTTACACAGGACTTCTCCAAATGCAAAAAAACACCTGCCACCATTTCCCTACTGGCAATGGGTTCTGTTAACTGGCAAAATGCCTGCTGAAGCCAGACAACAGCATAGCAGGTGGCTGTGGCAGCGCTGCGCTGGCACATGAGCTAGAAGTATTAACAGTTGACAAGGGAGTGTAGCAAAAAATGTGAGTAGCAGCACATTCATTACCAGGAATGAACAGAGCCCATGGCTTTGAGACGGGTAGACACAGCAGAACCTTGTGATAGCCAGAAAAGGAGAAAAGGCGGAGAGGTAAAAAAAGAATCACGAATAGCAGAGGATGTTTCTTTAAAAATATACAGGCAGTCCCCGGGTTACATACGAGATAGGGACTGTAGGTTTGTTCTTAAGTCGGAACTGGTACATATTGTAGGGGAAACTCTAGCCAAACATTTCTCCAGAGTTCAGTTTTATTCTCCCACACCTCACTTCCCTCAGTCCTTTATTCTCAAGACCCTCCTTCCAGCCGACAGCAGGGGCTGTTGGAGCTGCCCAGGGGCGTCCACGGGGCCAATGGATCCAAAGCTGGCGGGGCGGGGTGCCTCCCCCACTGTCGCCGCCTCCCGCGGTGTGGGGGGCGCTTCCCCTGCAGCGCTCGGGGCAGCGCCAGCTGAACAGCCTTTCAGGCGGCGCGTCTCGGCGGTCCCGCCACCTGCGTCCTCCGCGGCGAGAAAAGCCGCTCTGCGTCTCCCTGGTCCGCTGGGGGGGGAGGGGGCGCAGCTAGTGCGCACCCCCCGCCCCCCCATGCCAGAAGTGGCAACAGTGGGGGAGGCACCCCGCATCTCGGCGGTCTGCTGGGGGGGGAGGGGCACAGCTAGTGCGGGGTTGCCTCACCCCATTCGTAAGTAGGGATCCGACGTAAGTCGGATTGACGTACCCAGGGACTGCTTGTATTGGGCTGAACTCACCTCTTGTGCAACTTCACTGTTGTGAATGGACTAACACAAAGGAAGAGTGTATCCCATTGTTTTCTCCTTTGTAACAGGAGAAGCTGAGGAAATACTTGTCATAACAGGCAGTGGAACAAGAGCACTGAGACAGAACAACACCATAGAGTGCACATGCAAGGTCGAGAAAGACTATAATTATCTAGGCAAGCACCAAAAAACGAGATGAGAGCTTCACGCACAACATGCATGAGCTCTCCAGCATTGGCATTCTCACCCAAGCATCACTCAGGCCAGCAGCAAGTTACAGAGTGTGAGGATACATCTACACAGCAGGGCTAAATGCAAATTAAGCTATGCAACTTCAGCTACATCAGTTGTGTAGCTTAAGTTGAAATACCTTATTTTGGCTTTTGGCGCTGTCTACACAACAGAAAGGACTTCCCTTAGTCCACATAAAATGAGGGTTACAGGAGTTGGAGTAAGAAGTCCTCCAACTTGACATTATTTTGATAACAACTTGATATCAGTTATTCCAAAATAATGCTGCTGTGTAGACGTACCCAAAGAGGCCTGGTTCTAGCACATTAGAAACAGCAGAATCAGCTCCCAAATAGCTAAGCCAGCATGAATCTAGTGAGAGTTACCTTCTTGCTAAGTTGCTGATTCTCCTTTTCCAGTTCTACAAACTTTAGGCTGGTCTCTTCTGTGGTCAGAGAGAGATCTCTGAGCTCTTGGATGGTGTTTTGAAGACTCTGATTGTCCTTTTCTAGCTTCAGAATGCGACTCGATGCACACTCGTTTAGCTCAAACACAAAGGACTTTCTAGCTGTAGAAATATGAGAATAAGAATGGCAGAGTTTAAGACACAGATAATTAGGGACAAACCCTTAGCACTTCAGCTGATCTTTGGTGGCAGAGTAGTCCATAGGTAAAAACACCTACATTGAATACTTCCATAGATAATAGTTACATCCCTTCATGAACAGGAAAGTGTCTAAAGACATGAGATCTCAAAAGTAGCTTTATTTTCATAGTCTTATATCTAAGAGTCAAGTTAGCTATTAAGTTGAATGGTTAAACTAAAAAAAATTGGTTGGGATAGAATTTTGCTGAGATAGAAGTTATAAAAAAATTAACATCTGAAACTAGGAAAAAAGCCATTTTCAATCTTTTATACCATGAAGTTACAGCTGTCAGTTAAAACTTTTACATCAATTAACCACAGAAATTGCTCATGTGGATGAGTACCAATGCTCTGGTTTACCCAGCTGGTTCTGCAGGCACCCACTAAAGCAGGGTGTATATTTTAAGGCTGGATACACATTCACTAAGGGTACGTCTAGACTACATGCCTCTGTCGCCAGAGGCATGTAGATTAGGCTACCAGACATAGTAAAATGAAGCGGCGATTTAAATAATCGCCGCTTCATTTAAATGTACATGGCTGCTGCGCTGAGCCGACAAACAGCTGATTAGCTGTTTGTCGGCTCAGCGCAGCAGCCATGTACATTTAAATGAAGCAGCGATTATTTAAATCGCCGCTTCATTTTCCTATGTCTGGTAGCCTAATCTACATGTCTCTGGCGACAGAGGCATGTAGTCTAGACGTACCCTAAGAATCAATCACAAAGAAGTCTCTATGGATGTAAGCTTTGCCACTGACTTCAAAAGAGCCAGGATTCACTCCAGGTGGTAAGAGTTCACAAGTTTTATCACATTTAATCTGACTTTTCCCAATATCAATGTCTCTATTGCAAATTTACCTTTTCACAATGTTTGATTTTAGTAACAGGACTGGAGTAACTAAAAATCCACTTCCTGTTTCAAATGTAACAAATCTATTGTCTGCATACAAATCATATGTTAAATATGAAAGTGACATTAACTCTTGGTTCAAGTTTTAGGTAAAAACACTCAACCCTATAGGGGGAAAGAAAAAATTCAGTGCTGCTACCACCCCTGAAACAGCACTTCCAACTGATAAACTCCTAGGAGAGTGAATGGTTTATGTTCTTATGTTAACATTCATGCTCTCTATGAGCAATAAAATAGTGAGTTTTGGTTGCATCAGTGTTTAATGCTTATACCAATTCTATTCTGAAATAAAAATTTTACCAGTGACTTGGTTGGTTTTCAAGCTTATTGCTACACAATCAGGCCTGCTGATGGGAGTGTGGGGAGGGAAGGGGGCAGTTACACTGGGACGTGGTGTTTCAAAGGGACCCAAAGCTACTGGCTGCTGCCACTGTGGCTGAAATCATAGGTGCTCCATGTGGCTCTGAGTGCTGAAAGGTGTGGGAGGTTGGAGGGGAGGAAGGAAAGCACTGCGCTCCAGCCACTGACGACTCTTGGCCCCACCTCTTTGCCTGATGCTCCGCCCCTTCCAGGGCACAAAGCCCCCCCCCCCTCACTTTGCCCGTGGCTCTGTTGTACCCAATGATTTCTGTATCAACTGTGCTCAGTTTATAAGTTAAAAAAACATTTTTCTATGTGCTACCCTTCCAAACTCAACTTGAAATCTAAGGGTGAATCTATACAGCACCCTAAACTTGAAATAGCTTATCTTGAAATTTGGCGCAGCTACACAACACCAAAATTTTGAAATAACACTATTTTGAGCCATCCGTTATTCCTCGTGCAACAAAGTTTAATGGGATGGCAAAATAGCACACCCGTTATTTTGAAAAATATTTTGAAATAACGGGCGGCCTGTATAGACACAGGGTACCTATTTCGGGATATCTCCGGTACCCCAAAATAGCCGTGCAGTGTAGACATGGACTAAGAGTCAAGCTGAGTTCTTTCCTGGTCATTCATCACCACTAAACAAAATAAAAGTTCTGAAGAACAGACTGTGCTCTCAGTTACATCTGCTCAACTCAGTTGTCCTCAGTGGTAAACTAACTGAAACTTCATAAGTGGAGATGGCTGAAAAATAGGAAACTGTTTTGGAAAAACTTTTGAAAATTTTAAGTTGTTTTCATTTCACGGGTCAAAAAACGAAATCACTTTTTGTTTATAATAAAAATTGATTTTTAGTCAGACTTTCAAACTCCCCCCCTTTTTTTGCCACCGGGTACAGTAAAATAAATGATGTCATTGACTCCTCTCCACTTTTCTTTTGCAACTCTAGAGAAATTTTTGAAAAGCTATGACTTTTGAAGAGTGACGGATTGATAGAGTTATAAAGTTTAGCATTAATTATTATTCTCCCTTTATAACTTTTCTAAAGTTGAGGAAGTTTTGAAAAGTTACAGAAAGGACAAATAAAATATAAACAAAAAATGGAGGAGAACCTAGACATCATCCATTCTAATGCATTCAATAGGAAAAAAAACAAAGAGAAAAGGAGAAAAAAACATAAATTAAACAAAACTGCAATTTGAAATGAGGTAGACAATTCTGAATTTTCCAATCTTTCATGAAAAATTGCACTGTTTTCCTAAAATGTTCCAATGTTGATGAAACCATATTTTTGATGCATTAGAAGAACCAGAATACATTTCACCCTGTTTGAACTTTACTGCATTAACTCTACAGGCAAGCAGATTAAAAAGTGATAAAAACTAATTAATCATTACTGTTAGTAGACATAGCACAGAACACACACTGCAAGTCAATCTGAGGAGTAAAGTGGTGGTGCCATTTTTACATATACTTATGACCCTAATTTTACCAAAATGTATGCTCCTACTTAGGTTTAAATAAAGTGATTTGCCTTACTAACATCAATGAACCTACTCAGAGTATAAAGCAAAGCATGCACATGAGTCTTTGAGGGATTAGGTAAATGTTCAGTAAAGACTGGATACAGAAAACTCTTGCCCATAACATTGCTATATTTCCCAGGGTTCTTTAAAATATAATTTTATATCCTAGTAATATAAACTGAATTAATTATATAACTAGCAACCAATTATCAAGCTTATGATACAGGACACTGATTTTTGTTATGTCTTGCATGTAATTATTGAAAATGAATCACCCACTTATAAAATATCCAGCCAGTTATTTCCCCTCCCTCTCATTCATTTTTCACCATCTATTAAAAATAGTTCTCTCACAGCATAGGCTTTTTTTCTGGGACTTAAAGACAGCTGGAAGTAGAGAAGGGTCATTGACTTCTCGCAGCCACTTACTATTTACTTAAAAATACCCTATGCTGGGATCATTACCATGTAATGTACGAGGGGTTGTTTGTTTATTTTGAGGCATTATCTCAAGGGAGGTTTAAATATAAAGAAGTCATTGTTAATAGTTAAATAATGTAAGGAAATAAGCTGGAAGTTGTGGCATTGTTAGAAGCTTTTTGTTCAGCTTACATAAGAAAAAGTCAACTGTTTAAATAAGGAAATTTATTTCCCCCTATGAATTACTGAGGCTGGAGTTGAGGTTTTGCTCCTGACTAGTGTAATAACTTGTTCCCCTCCTCTTCTAGAAGGAAACCTTGTGCAAGCACAATAATTAAGAATCACCTCATGATGGCTACTTACTGTCTGCGAGGTCTGTGCTCTTTGACAGCTGTTCTAGTTCCCAGCCCAGGTGTGCAGACTCATTCATGCTCTGTTTTTGTGCTATCTCCAGTACCATATTCTCTTCCAGCAACTCTTCAATTCGCTTCTTGTCTGTGTCCCGGTCCTATGAAAAGAAGACCATACACATGGAACCTCATGCTAAGCTTATTAACTAGAGTGCCTGATCAACCTCTTCATGTTTGCTCAGTTATTACTAGGAGTGATACATGCACTGAGAGTTTAACAGACCCTCCCTGTATACAACATGTGTGTCTATATTAATATACACATCCAATATTAAGAGAGATTCCTCACAGATCCAAGATTAAAGCTACCACATAGATGGCCTAGATCCCAAATGAAACTTCTCCAAGTTCACAGTTACAAAGATCCAGGGTTTTGGTTCAGGTCCATCTCTAATTACTTATAATACTAAGTGGATGCTTTAAGATATGTCTAATAGCATCAAGACTGCATAATTTCACAACTAACTTGACACCACTTTTTGACACTATCTGGGCTTTACAATACGCTTTCTGCCCTTCCTAAAGCTGAAGACAAGCATCACAGAATCAGAGATATTTTTCCTCATTATTTGAAATGCCAAAAAGTGAAATCTTTATATCACATCATTGCCACCTTCAAAGCTTTTTAACAAAGAAACTGTAAATAAATGGAAAATGAAATCATATAAGGTACTTAAAAAACCTAACCCTATCAGGTGCTTCGTGAGAGATTGTTCAACATTTCCCACTAGAAGTCAGTTGTTTACTGCTGATTGACAAAATTAGAATTATTCTAATGAACAGATGAAAAATAGGCTCATATATGGAGAAAGCTTTCCTCTAAAGTGAGTGGGTATTGAATGGGCAAGACTTTAGAGAGTGTTCCCAGTTCTTTAACTGGAATAACAAATAGGTACCGGCTTGTTCTCCTTTTCTCTCTTACACCCTCCAGCCCCATCCCTTTCACCTTATAAGACACCTGCATCAGAATGACATTTACATGCATGATGTTTGTATTGAAATTGAGAACAACCATCTCATTTGGGACAACATATTTTGGTTGCTCCACATGTCACATCATGCTTCTTCAAGGTATCTCAGGATGAGCACCCAAAATTGTGAGCCACTTTTGAAAATCCTGAGTATCGTTTGTTTGATTAATTTACAATACAATGTATACTCTGAATTTAGCATAACACCGTGGGTCTGACCAATTCCTTTATGCCAACAAAATCTTTTTCAGGTGAGTAAAAGACCATACTTCACAAGAATTCAGAGCAATGAACCCATAACAGGAATACTAGTAATTAAAATACTGCATACAAAGTAACATTTTTTTTATGTTTAATGCAGTAATACCTGTCCAATGTTATTTATTAGGCTTTTTAGTTGTGAGTGATAAACATCTAGATTTTAAGTCTTTCATTTGTGTGCAATGAATAAGCTCTTTTTCTCTGATTTATGTAATGTTCAATACTGAGAACATTTTATTTTTTGCAGTGGTCAATGCCTTACAGAACTGCTGCAATAAATATATATTTTATATCCAGCAAGAGCTAGTTATATTTTCTAGTAAATAAGGAAAAGTTATTTACTTGTTCCTGTAAAATAAGAAATAGGGGCCACCAAATGAAACTAATGGGCACACAATGCATAGTCAATCTGTGGAACTCCTTGCCTGAGGAGGTTGTGAAGGCTAGGACTATAACAGGGTTTAAAAGAAAACTAGATAAATTCATGGAGGTTAAGTCCATAAATGGGTGTTAGCCAGTATGGGTAAGGAATGGTGTCCCTAGCCTCTGTTTGTCAGAGGGTGGAGATGGATGGTAGGAGAGAGATGGCTTGATCATTACCTGTTCGATTCACTCCCTCTGGGGCACCTGGCATTGGCCACTGTCGGCAGACAGGATACTGGGCTGGATGGACCTTTGGTCTGACCCAGTATGGCCATTCTTACGCTCTTATTGTTCTAGCAGTTGTTTATTGCAGCAGGTTTTTACATCCTATGTGTAAGAGATTTTTTTAAAACTAATACATTCTAAAATCACTAACACCAATGAGTATGGCTTCAATATTTTATTGGTGATATATGCTCATCTAACCTGAAATCATTTAAACTGTTTGCTTCTCCCAAGCAGACCACTGACGTATTGATACATTTAATTGTAATCAGAGTGTCATGCTGTTTTAAGCATAGACAATGAATGGCACTGACACAAAGTTCATATGGCTTAAAACATGGTAAAATATTGTAAATAGGATTTACTCCAATAGATTATGTAAAAGAGTATGTAACCTAGTTTAAAACCAAAATTTGTTAAAAATAACAGTTAAATAGTGTGTACCAGTTCTACATCATGAAGTTTGGATTTCAATTGCAAGTTTTCCTTCTCTAGTTCGTGCAACTTATCACCGCGAGCTCTTGCTACCGTTAACTGTTCTTCTAGCATGGCCTTTGTTTCAATTAGTATGATATTGTCTTCTCTCAATTCCTATAACACAAAAAGAAAAACAGCATATAAAAAGTTAATCTCCTAGTTTCATAATATTAGGTTTCAAACAGACAACTTTCAATATACAGTTTGAAAAAATATAGCACATCTATAACAAGGCCATTCAAATACTGGATATTTAACTATGAATAGCATTACCTCTAAAATTTCAGTTTTACATATGCAGATCCCACAAAAGCAAAGATTTACACTTCAAAATGTTCCAATATCAATGTTGGTGAAGCACTTGGGAGACAGAGTGCAAAATATAAATAGACCTAGACCTTTAGAGGTTACAGGCACATTTACATGAAAAGGTTCTTTCAGCAACTAGCC